GCAGACACCTGCAGGGGAGGGACCAGCACCAGAGGAGAGAGGCAGGGCAGGTGTGTAGAGGGAGGTGTTAGGAGAGGGGATGAGGAGGGTAGCTCACACGATCAGAGTGGGGCTACTGGAGGAGTGGGCACAGGGAGGAGAGAAGGGCTGGTGGAGGGGGGCAGGTCTCAGGAAGGCTGAGGGCAGTGAGAAGGGCAGGAGTCAGGACAGCAGAGGAGGGTGAGAGGTTGGGGGCAGCAGGCACTAGGGGAGCTGATGGAACAAGCGGAGGAGACATGCTGGGGATGGGGAGTGAGATTTAAATGTGCCATGATTTTTTTGGGGGGAGGGTGTTTTTTTGCTCAACATTTGGACATCCCCCCTTTTTTATTCATGCAGAATTTTGTTTAAAAATGAATTAAACATAATTAACATAAAAATTATCCAACTAAATTAAGTTTCTTTCAAATTTACCCAGTTCACATTTAATATGAAAATAGCAAATTCACATGGTAAGATGAAAGAGTAATTGCCGAATAATTTAATTAATACCTTTTACATGTAAAATTACCTTTTTTATCTTACGATTCATATATTAAATATGATGTTTTTTGTATTATTTAATATACAAATACAAAATAAGCCTTGAAAAATTGTTGGCGCACGCCACACTCTTCTGAAAACATGAATGTGCTATTGGCCACAAAAAGGTTGGGGACCACTGTATTAGATAATGATACTACAGTTACCAACATGCCTCCAGCTCCCATCCAGGACAGACCATACAATCCATCATCTATAGTCAAGCCCTAGGTACAACTGCATCTGCTCTAATCCTCAGGATCTCTACCAAGCATTTGTAAATCTCAATTACCCACCAGGGGAAATAAAAAAACAAATTGAAAGAGCCAGACGAATACCCAGAAGCCATCTACTTCAAGACAGGCCCAAGAAAACCAACAATAGAACACCACTTATCACCTACAGCCCCCAACTTAAACCCTTCCAATGCATTATCAATAACCTACAGCCTATACTGGAACAGGATACTACACCGAGAGCCTCTGGAAGACAGACCCATAGTATCCTATAGACAACCACCTAACCTCAGGATGATTCTTACCAACAACCACAGGACATACCACACCAGTACCAACCCTGGAACTTTCCCTTGCAACAAGCCCCGTTGCCAACTTTGTCTGCATATTTACTCTGACACCGTCACTGGACCTAACCATGTCAGTTACAAGATCAAGAAAACATATTCCTGTTCATCCAGAAATATAATTTATGCTATCATGTGCCAACAGTGTCCTTCTGCTATGTATATTGGACAAACTTCTCAGACACTTCGCTGAAGAATCAATGCCCACAAATCAGACATCATACACCTTCACAAAGATAAACCAGTTTCTTTTCATTTCAACCAGCCTGAGCATAGTCTTAACAACCTTACTACATGTATCTTACTTCAAAGACTACAAAGGGAAACCTCAGAACTGTCATTCATGCTTAAATGTGACACTTTACAAATGGGCCTTAACAAAGATGCTAATTACCTTACCCATTACAAAGATAGCTCCCCCAATTATCACCCCTTGTATCATCTCATAGATACTAGCCCTCCTCCTCCTCCTCATCCCCCTTCTGTTCTGAATCTGATTGGTCAATTTTATAATGTTTGCTTTTTTTCACTGTATCCTTTGGTATATATGGCCATGCCAGTTCTCTTCCAGAATTTGATCTGAGGAAGTGGGTCTGGCCCACGAAAGCTCATCGCCTAATAAACCATCTTGTTAATCTTTAAAGTGCTGCATAGTCCTGTCTTTTGTTTCAGCAAGATCAGACTAACAGGGCTGCATCTCTGTCACTATCCCTAGGTCAGGGAGCACGCAAAGTCTCTTGCTCACCACTGGGGCATGTGGCACATAATGGAACCGCCAGCTGTTCAAAACAGCTGGCAGTTCCCTCCATGTGCCACACAACCCTGGTGGGAGTGAGAGAGTTTGCATGCTCCTCTGCCTCCAGCTACAATGATTGGCCTGGGGGCAGGGGAACACCCAAAATCTCCCCCACTGCAGCTAGGGAAGTGCGGTGTGTAGAGGGGACTACCAGCCATTTTTAACAGCTCACAGCTCCAGCCTGGTGGTGGGAGGGGGAGGGGGAGAGGGAGACTTCTTATGCTACCCCACACCCAAGCCAATCAGGGCCTGGGGGCGGGAGGCTTGGCGTTCCCCCAACCGCTCCTCAAAGGCAGGCTGCGGACCAGATCAAATGGCTTGGCGGGCCGCATCGTGCCCACCCCGAACAAGAGGCGTAAGGCTGCTGTGCCCCTCTAATTTTGCCTCCATGTGCAGAATAAATGTTGTTCCATGCACTGAAGCATGTGTAGTTGCGCACCACCTATAAAAACACATGCTGCTGGCTTGGGGCACTCTGCCAGTCAGCTGGGCTCCACTGGAATCTCTCCTGGGCAGCAGCCCAAGCACTCTGGGAAAACTGATCCCAAGGCAATTACCCAAAGTCACACCTTGCTGCCGGGGCCAGTGGGGTGGGGTCTAGGCATTAGCCAGGGAGCCCCACTGCAGAGCCTGCCAACTGCCTACAGGTGCCTATAGCACCCTGTGGAATCGGCGACTGTAATGCACCCTGTGGCTTGCACCTGCCCAATCGCAAATATTGTTTCCTGTTTCAGGCTGGCCAGGAGCCTTTTTGGTGGCATGAAGCACCAGGCACAGTGGAGTTGGGGCTGGTGACGGGTCCTTTGAGCCCAGCGTAGCCTGACTGCTGGTGGGGGGGGCATGGCTGGCAGTGTCTGCAGCTACAGAGACTGGCTGGGAAGAGCCCAGCTCTTGGAGAGGGGGACCAGTTTTCAAGCAGCACTCAGCCCTTCCTGAGGGCTGGCCAAGACCCTCCAGTGTCCCAGAAAAACACTGCCTCCTTGGTGCCCTGCTGGGACTCATGGGGTGAGAGACACGCTGTGCTGGGGGGAGCAGTGGGCTGGGACACTGTGGCAAGGCTGGTAAAGTGGGGTGTGCCCCCTGCTGCATCACCCCCGGATGCTTTCATCTTTCACCCCCACCCCTGTGTTACCCTGGCTTCAGCACCCGGTTGGCCTCTTCCAGAATCTCTCGCAGGTTGGTGCCCATCAGTGCCAGGCAGAACACGGCAACGTCCACGGACTCGTCAGCCAGCGGCACCTGCAAGGCACCCGGCAGGCTGGTCACGATAATGGGGAGCAGCTAACGTGATGCAAGGAGACCCCCTCTCCCTACATAGCCCCTGGGTGCCCTCCCTGCCCACACCTACCTTAGCCATGTCACACACCGTGACGCAGGGGTTCAGGGCCACCAGGTCGAACGAGTGCACCTTGTTCCTGACACTGGTCGCAATCTTGCAGTCGCCACACCCAAAATCTGCCACCACCAGCGAGGCTGGCCTTAGGGGGAGCAGAGAGTGGGTGTCAGGCCAGGGGCCCCAGGTGCAGGGCTCTGCCAGGCTTAGTTCCCCCCCCCCAGGCAGGGCCAGAACCCCAACTGGATAATGCGGTGAACCGGGTTTTCGGGCCAGCGTCCCACCTGCTGGGAGAAGCCGCGGTGATAGATGGCGAAGGCCTCGGGGTCCTGCTGGAAGAACTGGGCTGCCTCCTGACTGCTGGATGTGTAGAGCTGGGGGCCCCAGGTGCAGGGCTCTGCCAGGCTTAGTTCCCCCCCCCCAGGCAGGGCCAGAACCCCAACTGGATAATGCGGTGAACCGGGTTTTCGGGCCAGCGTCCCACCTGCTGGGAGAAGCCGCGGTGATAGATGGCGAAGGCCTCGGGGTCCTGCTGGAAGAACTGGGCTGCCTCCTGACTGCTGGATGTGTAGAGCTGCTGATTGATGTAGCGGAAACGGGCAGACTGGAGCCGCTCCTCCATCCGGGCCCGCAGCGCCCCCGAGAGCTCCGACTGGGGCTGCACTGGGGTCACCTGCTCTGGCCCCGCGTTCGGGCCCTGCCCTGCCCCCACTTTAAATTTGTTTTTCTGGCGCCTTTTTTTTTTCTGTTTGTTC